CCCCCCTCCCCCCACCTTAGCCAACTTTATAAATTTGTTAGAAGTTCTACTCAGTTAGTCAAATGAAGAAACACGGGTTAGTTACAGATCACACTTAAGATCAGGATTGTTCATTACGAAATTTTGTATACTTATATCACATTTAGAGAAAAACGGTTTGATCAGCCAAGACAAGTTCTTTCCCAAGATTTCTTACGACAAAACCGTAATAAATATGTGAAATTTAAAAAAAGCCAACCACAGACAAGTACTGGAATATTAGCCTTCGTAATGAAGAGGCGAAAGTATAAGGATATCACAAAAATGCAGAACCTAAAAAAAACCAAAGCATCTATAAAAAGTCTTTCAATATCAAAATACTAGCTAAATCAGCATCTGAGGTTTTCAGCTGAGGAAAAAATTGAAAATAAATGTACCACTCTAGTTTCCTAAAAAGCTCAGTGAGGAGAAATAAAAAAATTCTTAAGTATAATCATACAGAAAAGAAGTTTATGAAAAAGATATTCTGAGAGTACCCGAGAGGCAGCAAGAGTAAGGGAAGACGAAAGTATAGTTCAAAGAAGTAGATACTGTTGAGGAGCCTCAACCCACAATGCAAAAGACAAAAAAGAATAGCTGAAGGGTGCGGTAATGATGAGCTAAATGGCAAAAGGCAGCACGACAAATCTGATTCAATTAAATGTGGCACTTGAAAGCTCTCCAAAATTCACTATTCCCTTAAGCAGATGAAGCTTTTGTAACCAGCTAAGAACGAAGTTGCTCAAAAGTAAATGAACATAATCTGCCAAGGAGTGACGTGACAGCATAACCCATAAAATGGATATGAAATGCACATTCAGAAGTCTTTAAAAAATTTAAAGTCGGAACAAGTAAATCGCCAAAACGATGATCGCAAAAAGAACTAAAAGAAAAATCACTATAAAAAATTTTTTCTGGCGAGCGTCTCTCTGGTAAACGAGCGCTCTCCTCACGTCCGCTGCTCCCTACAATTTGAAAATAATCATTCCATGAAAACACGATAAAATGGCACATAAAATTTAGCCAAAAAAGGGAAAATGTAGCAAATTCAGCTCTTTTAACCTGCTCAACTTGAATTGATGCACTTTCCACATTTGCTTCAATGCTATCGACAATATCACCCTGATCATGTACTATTCTCGCTAAGTCTTTCATAATCATAGTAACATCCCCAATATCTTGATTTAACTGCCTCATCGTCTAAAGAAATCAAGCTTCATTAATCCTCAGTGTAATTCGCTGTATTCTGTGAGTTGTTAATTTCGTTGCCTTACTTCATTTCTTTCTCTAAGCTCATTAAGATGAGCTTGGTGCTGTATTTGTAGTTGCTGCTTCTGATGAAATTGAAAGTCATCAACTGCTTCAATCTAAAACTAAATGCAATATGCTAAGCATAATCGATATGGCTTAAAGAGTTCTAACCAAAGATTCAGTGGAAATAACTGTACTGCCTTGAGCAAAATAAGCAAGACGCAACAAGAGGATTCACAGATAAATTGGAAAAATCACCTGCTGACTAACTTCCTTATCACTTATAACAACCGCATCCATCGATTCTCGTTCTTTGGCAGCTGCTGCCCGTTGAGCTGCCTGCAACCTGTTGAGAATAGCTATAAGTTCTCCCATGTATCGTTCTCTTTGAACTTTCAACACAGGAACCGACCGCTGAAAATATATCAAAGAGGCACAAAAATCAGCAGGCTAATCACCTACAGACAAACAATTCTTACATCTTCATTAGACAACTGAACAAGTTTTTTCATCAAACCATTAGTGTCTTTGCTTAGATGATTGGACGTTGATGTCAGGTCAGCAATCTGCTCTCGAAGAGACTCTGCACCATCGGAACCACCAATCTTTGCCACCAGCGCTTCCAGCTGCTGGACTAAATTACGGTCAATAAAAATCAATTCTTCCTCCCAATTTAAATAACCAGATCCCAACTTCTCTGCATTAAGCAACATACAAAAAAATCAATTTAAAAACTTTTATGGAAAAAGACTAAAAAGGTAATGGATACGACTGCAACAATCGTAACTGAAGAATTCAGCTGTTGCATATTTAAGACAATAAAATACTTAATTCAATAAATTCAAGTTCGCATGTGTCAAAACAGTTTAAGTAGCAATCATTTACTTCTAACAATCTGCAAAAAAATAAAAAATAAAAAAAATGAACAAAAAAGTTTTGAAAAAAAAAAACAGTAGTGGTAAACTTTTACCTTTGCTATTTAATTCCTGAATATTGGAATGAATGGCAGATAAAAGTTGAGAAATGTCAGGTCTTACACTCATCCTAGCAGAATTGTGCGGAAATGAACCCTGCTAAGATCTGTGAGTGAAAAAAACAATACAGCAACGTTAGCAAACCGCATGAAATCAAGCTTTAATTGACACGACGACAACTGAGGAAGTACATGAACATTCCGTCAACTCTTGAGTTTGTATGTGTTATATAAAACGTTTACAAGACAACATGATGAGCAAATAAACCAAATATATAATGACCAGCAAGAAATTGCACTGTAAAAAAGAACTTCATATTTACCAAACATTATGGGAACAGTCAAAAAAAATTTTGATAATAGCTACACTAAACAAAAAAAATTGTTAATAGCTGACTAATGCTACTTTCTTCCTCGGAATTTACACAATAGCTTCGTTTCAAACCACAGAGTCCTCCCAGTATCCTGAGAAACTTCTACTAAATTTCTAGTTCTTGCGTCCGCCAGTAATAATGAGCAATCGCCAAGCAATCGCCCGACCAAAGTGCAGTCCCAAAATCCAGTTTGACACTTAAAAAATGAGTAAACAAATAGAGAGCAACATAAATTTTCTAGCTGTGTAAGAGCAAATGAGCAACACAGACATTAAAAAAGTGTCCCCCACCTTTTTATGCAACATTAACGTATATATCATATAAGAAAAAATTGGCAAACACCACTTTTGGTTAACACGCACTGAACCTCGTATTGTGACAACAACTGTCAGGGTGTCTGTTGGCAGAATTCCATGACACCGTCAGGACAAATTTTATATACAGGCGAATTCATTTCTACAGGCGGATTCAATCCTACTTTCCACTGGGCGGGAAAACGGTTTTGGCTGGAACGATTC